GTTGGGCTGACAACAGAATACTAGACGGAGACCGAAACTATGCAAGCTCAATGAACAGAAAAACGTTTTCGCTTTTTACACACCCACTTTCGGGAGAGCCCATGATAAGGACCATAGTTAAAGCAGAAACATAAATGCATTCCTTCAAGACTCACCCATAAAAATGGGAATGCCGAAATAGGGGAAGGAGACAATAAAAACGAAAACCAAGACGAAAATATGAATATATATCTATATATCTGCAGATGCGTTTTCGTAATCGTTCATACTCAGAAAGCAGCGGACACAAAAGGAAATGAAGGTGAAAAGAAATTATAAGATAAAAGGCGCGCATGTGAGGGAAGCGGGGGGGGGGCAAAATAACGTGAAAAAATGAAAATGGATCCTTGTCAAGAGACAGGGGCGGACTTCAACAAAATGCAGAAATTGCCAAGTAACATAATTCGCACTTGAGCGTAATACGGTCTGCACCCATCTATGCGCTATAGTTTTGACGAAATTTGATCTCTAGAGTGTGGGGCCAACCGGCGCCGTAGAAACAGGGAAACATACAAACTGGACGTTATGAGGGCTGTGATGAGCAATATTCACATGCAATGGTTAAGACCTCAGAAGGCGAAACTGCGTCGAAAGCCACCGGCAGAGCGGAGGGTAGACTGGTTAATGAGAGCAAGGGACAAGGATCACAGGTCCGTAGACGGAGAGGAATTTGGTGAGGCGTTGGGAAGTCCGACAAACGGCACTATGGGATTCTCACCTAGGAGTTGCCGAAAGTTCCGTTTCTGAACAAGACGCTGTCGTGGCAGCATCGCAGGCTTGGTAAAAGAGAATGTAGGCTGAGTCGGAGGTTTTTGAGGCTTCAGAAGTTGTTCCGAAAAAGTCGCGAATCGTAGAGGGATCAATTTTCTGTTAATGGGAAGATGGGCAATGAACTTGTTTATAAAATACACAGAGACACAACACATACTACCTAAATTCAAATAGTAGCCATAACTGTTTAAAACTCACATCGACAAACTCGTCGTCAAAAAGGAGCCAGATGCCGTCAGACTTAACGAGGCTGATATAGTGGCCCCGATTCAGACCTGAACCGGAATGTACAACAACAGCCATCAGTTCATATAGACGATCCGGATTGCTGGCGTCATCAGACTAAAAAGAAAAGCACACTATCAATAATCGGGCCAAATATTGCCGGTAAGAAGGATTTGAGGTGGTTAAGGGCTCTGGTGACTGACCACCGAGTCAACCAGCGCATTCAAGCTAGACGATCTTGAATATAAAACAGCAGTAAGCAAACTGCAGTCCAGGTGTCAGTCGTAGATGAAAGTGTTGAGAGCACAATCGCTGTCTTGAGCCACTTACCTGTCGCCACGATAAATGAGATGAAATAGTGTATCAACTACAAGAGGTGCGCTCTGGCACAGGACAAAAACGTCCGCCTATAGAAGATGCTTCGAGTATTTTATCAGTCAAGCTAGTAAAGTCAAGCAAGCTGGCTGAAAGACTAATTCGTAATAAGGCCGCAAATTTTAGTCCTGCGGTTGTCCTTCTGGGATTGCGTTTACGAACCTCGCATATGCGTAAGGTAGACATACCCAACCAATCAGTGCGGCGGCTCTTGCGTAATTTGCATATCAGGTTAGCAGGTGTCTTCTTGGGGTACTGAAACCTAGTTTTAGCCATAAAAGGTATATCTTCTTAAGCGAAACCGAGAAGTCGGTCGTCACATTGGTTACCGCGGGTATACGTTTAGTGATCGTCTTTGTATGCCAGAAATGCTTACAAAGCAACCTGCTATCAACCGAAAATTTAGAGAAAAACACTCTGACCTCATTCCTAAACTACCGAATGCGTCACCGTTGTTGTGGCACGAGCGATGCGGATGACAGCTTGTCAACTATGTAGTCTACGGCCTTAAAATACGATCCACAGAGGAGCCTATAAATTGCAAATTTTTGGAGTTTGAGAAATGTGAGGAACAGTCCTCCCGATCTTTACAAATAATATATTCCAACGTTGTTGGGCGCAAAAACTGCCTTCAATTAAGGCCCCTGATGATATATTATTAAAGTCCTAACGATTACCCAAGTCCCAACAGTCAAACAAGGACGTCCGCTGGAAAGCACGAGACATTGAGGAAAATATGTAGGAAAGGACTGCTTAAGCCGAGAAGGGACAATAACGGTCACTGGAGAAAATTTCCAT